AGAGAGTGAGGGGGGGGGGGTGGGGGGAGTTTTACCAGGCTTAGTTCTCTTTTTCTTTTTTTTCTTTTTCTTTGACTTGGACCTTCCATAGTCTTTGGATTTTCTTTCTTTGTTCTTCTCATGTTCTTTAACAGCTGAAATTAGACAACATTCCAACTTAATTTTTAAGATACATACACACTTACTCTACTTATTCATTTTCTTAAAGAACTCCACAGTTTCTTTGGACAATCAGGGCCAGTTCACTGCAAAAAACAACACGAAAACGTGTTTGTAAGAATTCCCACCTCTCGTAATTGGAATGGTCTGTTTCAAGTCCTAATTTTATTGTCCCGTAACAAAATTACAATAGTATGTAATTTTGTTAATAAATCAACTGTGCACCAATGCCCATTCACTACTTACATGCTTCTGAGATTATTGAAAAAGAAAATGCTGGAGGATTTGTCATATCCATTCTCTAAAATATTACGTCTAACGTTTCAGTAGCATTGTGAGAGAAGTCTGACAAGAACAAAACCACAACCCCCCCAAACACTAGCACAGTTCCTCAGTCAAGTATTTTGTTTTCATTGAAAATGGGGTAACTGGTTCAGCTGGCTTTAACTGCTATTCTCTCACCATCTGTTCGCCATCCTACTTTTATGGGAATAAAATAACCACCATAATTTTTGAATGATTGTGTGGTATCTCTCAATCAAGTCCATCCTCAAAGCATGCTTCCAGAGCACTTGCCATGAAATATAACCCCACTGCAAGGTAATGTGCACAAACCCTTGATTTCCATATCCTAGCATTTGTTTACAACTCTTGTCTTTCAAATTTAGGTCGCTGCAGCAGAATTTCTAGATACTTATACAGTTTCTTAAGTAAATTATCCTCACTCAGCCAAGACTATAGGTACAATCATAAAAATCTATTATGGAAGGATGCCCTGCATCTCAAAAGGGCTTTGCTCTTAAGAGTGCTTAGCTGATTAAGCCACCCACCATCCCATTTAGAAAACTATTTCAATTTCTCATTACTGGTATCAGAATGAGCACATAAAGACACTCTACACCATAAGAAATCTCTTACATAAAACATTTAAGAACCCTAGCTGGTCTGTAACCGCTCATGAAGCAAACCAGCAATACCAGTGTATTATGTTAACCTCTTTCATGCATGGAATAGTAAACTCCCCAATTCACAATCTAAGGCTATGTATTTATGGTACAAACAGCTCACTCTGAGAAACTGGAAAATCTCAGTCACGTTTTACCAGCTATGATGAGCATGCAGGAGACATGCTCATTAGCTCCCCCTCACGAGTCTTCAGTTCTGTGTCTCCCCATCCTCTTAGTCCTTGATCATCTCCTGCTACTTTGCCACTTATGTTCCTCTTTTGGCGTGTCATAGTGATGGCTGCTAAAACTGTGCATTGCCAGCAGCCACATTAACTGCTGACACTGACGGCAGCCTGCCATACCAACCATACCAACTACATGTCCTTCAAAGGCCTTATGACAGGCAGCACAAAAGACAAACTTCATCCTCCCTCCATTACTGTTTGTTGAGGGGGGTAAAAAAAAAAAAAAAAAATAGGAAAGAGGTTCATATTTAAGTCTCAGCACAGAGCTTCCAACTTCCTTCTTGGTTTCCTTTGTACTCGTCTCGTAGTCCTCCAGTGGTCAGGATCCTCTGGGTACCACTTCCTTCTCCCTGCTCCTAAACAGGGATGCAAGTAAGTTCTGCCATTTTGATTATTCCAGAAGGGCAAAGGGAGAATAACCAAGGTCACAGGTAGGAAAATTCTGCATCTATTCATTTGGGAATTAAAATTTGCATAGCACATCATCCGATTTGTTTTAAGATATCTGAGAGTGCAGAATATGCTACTTCAGTCACTATCAATCTATCCATCATAACTGCGACAAAGAATTGTCACTTTGTTCCACACTTTTTCCCCTTCAGCTTGCCAGTATGTCTTTTAAAAATTTGAAAAAATCCAAGTATTTGCAAACTTTTGTGTACAGCTATCTTAAGTGCACAACGCAGCTAATGCAGGATTCCCCCCCCAAAATCTGCAAAGAATGAGTACTATAAAAGGGACCTTCCCAAAACCCTGTACCAAAGAATCTTTTTGTCTCAAGTTGTAAGCACTCTGAAGTCTAATGAATTCTCGCTGAAAAACGATCAGATAGGAGGCTACCTAGTTTAGGAACCCCCTCATAGATTCACGTGATCAAAGCGAAAGGTCAACTGCCTCATATAATCCTAAAAATCCATCACACAACCACCGTATTTTTAAAAAGGATTTTTTGGCAAAACCATAAAGAGACCTAAGCCATCTCTATTTCCTTGAATGGCAGATAGACTAACGAGGACCAGGATGATACCAATGAAGAGACACTAATGGATGTCATTCAGACCTTCCTACAAGGGAAGGCAGCAAAGGATAACTAAGAATAAACAGAGGTGGCAAGTACTGACTGATTACTATGACCAACAGAACAACACAGTGACCAGCAATTAAGGTGATCTTCTCAAGACATCTCCAGAACAAAGATTACTTAGAATAGTCTAAACAGATTTTTTTTTTTTTTTTTTTTTGTTTCCTCAGTGTGACTCAAATTCTCACCTCATATCTGAAGGAAAGTGGTGATGGAGTAAATCTGGAAGTATGCTGGAAGTTATTTATGTATTATTCATATATATAAAAATATGTATTATTTATATGTATACACACACCCCCCCCTCAACCCCCATATGGCTGTTACCCACCTATACTATAGTAGATTCCAGTACAAACAGGGTTTACACTATATCAGTGAACAAAGTAACGAAGTAAAGTTGTTCAGAGATATTTAGTAGCAACGAGTGTTGACTACCAGAAGTAGTCAAATGCTATTAAAAAAACACTACAAAAGAAAGAACTAGGTTTTGTCATATCTTCTCCCTGCCTTTTTTTTTTTTTGTTTGTTTTATTAAGCTTAGGTATCTCAAGTTCAGGATTACTTAAAATATTTAATGCTTTGGACAACCAAGAGTTTAAACAGAATTCAAACCCATGTATCAAACAAGCAAAAATAAGCAAGAATCTTTTCATACCCTTAAATACTTTAATACTTCTTAAATCTTAAAAATATTACACATTGATTGGGAAGAATAAACCCCAATGCATATAGCAAGAAAACCTAGAAAATTCCCTATATTGATTCTTCATTTGAAGCTACTGCAAAGAAAGAGTGAAAAAACACCGCTTGCATTTTACACTGTACATTCATAAAAAATTAAACGCTCTAAAGAAGGACAAGAATACTTTCAATCAATATTATCAGTTCCTTACAATGCTTAAAACTTTTCCAAGACTTTTCCATGTTTAATTTTTTCATGTTAATCTAAAAAGGCGTACCATTTTCAACTCCTTTTTCTTGAGGCTTCCGCAGCGATCTCACTATGTGGTTCTTGGTCTGTTCTCTAACAGTATGTCGGTGACTATTTAATGCACTTACAGCAGTTGAAGTTCTTCTCTTTTCTATTTTTACATCTCTATATGGGGTATTCCTTAGGGCTATGTGTAGAGGAGCATCTACAAAGAGAATAAAGATGAAGTCCAAGCTTTAAATACTTTCAAAATGTAAGTCTACTTCACCAGCAGCAGTTCTGGTAGTTTATGTGGAGTGTTTCTGATCAGACACACTGCTCAACTCAAACTGCTAGCAACTTGACCATGGAAAAGCTTTTAAAAACAGGTGCTGGTTTAAAGGCTAAAACCTCTACTGCTTTTGTTGGTTTGAATTTTTTTTCAAAAAGAAACAGTGGATGCAAATGCATTCCCCAAAGCTCTGTTCTTCCAGAAATACTGTGACTTTGAAGAAAGATAGAAAGAGAAACAGTTCAGTTTGGCAGAGATATCGGTCAGGTAATTTTTATTATTAGCTTCTTCAGAAGAAAAGAAGGGGGGTCCTGTTGATTTAATTAGAGGAACCACAGCCTGTTCTCAAAAGTGTGCTTTGTAATGAGGTATATAGAAGTGGCATAGAGAAGCTGTATGCATCTAAGGAAGGGCAATTTTTAAATACATACCACTGAAACTCAGTTTAAACTGAGAGTGAGATGCAAGAGTTCAGAGTCACTAACTAAAATTTGTAAAAATCATGAGATACAGGCATGGCTTCACCTGAGATTCCACTTACTATTTAAGTCAAGTCAAATAGTTCTCATCTTACCTACAGCTAGTAACTCCTACTGAAAGACTCCTGGACATGCAAAAAGAGAGAGGTGAAGCTGATAAAAGCAAAGGCTGCACGGCATGTAGGACAGCCAGACTAAACAAGACAGGCACACTGCCATTTTGGAGTATGACATCAAGTATCTTGGTCAATGAGACCCAGTAGCCAAGGCGACAGCTTCCTGATTTTCATCAAGAATGTCCAATTCTATCATCATAAGCATCTCAAAAGTTCAGTGGATACAAAAGGCAACTTCCCTCTTGTCTGAAGGCTTATGTGACAGCCAGATTTTCACTTGGACACCTTTAACTAAATAATTGTAAGCAGTACCTGAAAATGACTGAAAACAGAAGGAAAAGAGTCCAAGACAGCATACTTAGGAGAAGAAATGGTATCAAGTACTCTGCCCTGACCAACATTTCAAGTTGAAGCTAGGTACGTTAAGAAATATCATTACAGAGCTTTCAGAATCAAGTGGATCTCCTCAGGCAAAAGAAACTCCAAGATTCAGAAATCTGAAGGCCATAAGATGACTTGGTCCTCTCACCCTGAAGCTACATTAGAACTTGAAGGGGAAAAAAAGGAGCTGTTGATAACTATTTCTGTAACCAAATGGCTACCTTCTAGTCACTTCCCATAGCACTTTACAGCAGCCACAACAGAAGACAGAAATTAGACCAAACCTCAAGTTTCCACACAAGACTGTCTCATAAATGTACCTTTTGTCCAGTCAGGCAACCCACTGTCGCCCTTCCCTGGGTGCTTATTTACCTCAAGAGCTGCAAGACTGTAGAAAGTAGCATATTTTGTCCACAAAGAATTATCAAAACCAGAAGATACTCCTTGATAAGATACTGCAGTATGGTCTTCCATTTTCAAGAGGTCTAACTTCTTCTCTTGCAGGAATAAGTATAAAGAGGGATTTGGTTTTTTTGTTTGGGTTTTGTTTGTTTGTTTTTAAATACAGGTCTGTTTCTGTAGGACTTCTTGCTAACAGAATTTGCTCATCTGAGGACTTCCATAATTAGTGGGCTGGACAAGACATCATTAGTTCAGACAGGCAAAACTTTCTCCCATGGTACACAGTAGCTGAAAAGTAAGATTAAAGGTACTTCATAACCTGTTTGGGAACACCAGTGTCCTGACAAACTTTCTGAAATGCAAACTTTAGCAGTCCAGGGTGAGAAGTCATGTAAACAAGCCTTTCTTGAGCTTTCCTGATTGTCTACCGTTCTGGATTAAGTTCCAAAAATATTTACAGAACACCGACTCAGGAAACCCCAAAATTACAATACAAGAATATATGCAAACCAGACAACCTCCATTTAAACCTCCTAACTTTCCCCTCTGCCAACGGCTCAAATCAATTTCATGAATTAGCCTTTGAAGAATACCACGGCCACCTTGATCCCACTAGTCTTTCAAAGACCACAAGGCATCTGGGCTTCCTGTGGCCTGTGATCTGTGCACACAGACTCTTGGTGGAACAAAACAGTATTTCATGTCCATTAGTTTGTTTAGCTTTGCGAGACTGAAGTTTAAAGAGATTTTTGCCAAGAATGTGTCATATCCAGTAATGTTAATACATATCTGTAAATTTTTTGGTCACCAGTCACTCCACCTGTCCTGGGGGAGTTCAGGGATACTCTATCATACACCAGATGTATTTTTCTTCAATAACTGGAAAAAAAAAAGTTATCAACAAATATGTTAAGCTTTGAAACACCTTTTGTTCCATTGATAGAAAAGTTTAGAGGGTTATGACATCTTTGAGCATGCGGAAATGTATTTTAGGAGGTGGGACTAAATTGGAGAAGATGAGATTAAAAAAATAGAAACTTATCCTAAACTTTTGGGAGAATAATGTTAAAACTTGTGCCACGAAGACCCAAACTTGTAGGCCTTCCACAAGGCCTTAACGTCCTGTTTCCTCTCAATACAACATTTTTCAAGTATAATTCAGACAGGCCAATTTATAAAATTACCCCCGAAAGAACAGAGAGCAATTACTTCCATTAACAGCTACAACCAAGAACCTGTTTTTAGGCATGTGCGTTTAAAAATTGCGCATTCCCCAAGCTCAGACCTTCTGTTAGCACCACCTGCAGAGTGTGTCATGTGCATTCATCCTCCTGACTCCCTGAGACAACTGTCACTCTCCAGAACGCTTCCTGCTCCTCTGCTTCCTCCCAATCACAGGAACTCCTGATTTGCAGTTTCAAGAAAGGCCAACACAGAGCACACAATACAGCATATTTACACGGACAACACCTTCAACTTTTGTCAGTGCTGTAACTGACTTCTCCTGCAAGTCACTTGTCCATGTAAGCACTCTCAGACTACCAGGCAACAAGACAACTGTACTATGAGTCTGTAGTGAACAGCAGGGCGATGCTCATAGAGGCTCCACTTAGGAAGTGCATACGAGACTCCTATGCATTTACCAAAGCTGTCTATGCAGATCCCATGAAGACGCCTACACTTGTCTTACAGAGATATCCTAAGGTGGGACACAGGTGGCATCTAAGCTACAACTTCCACACGTTACTGATGATGACCAACTTAAACAAAAATCAAAATAGGTATTAGTACTCTTTAGTACCTCTGTGATCCAAAATGTCATTAATCATCATTAGAATTACACGATTCTCTATAAATAGACCACAAAAGCCCTTCTGACATCCAGGGCAGTGAACAGTTTCACTGTTCTTGAACAGCAATGTTGTAATTAAACACCAGCAGATTAATTTCTAGCTCAGATGATGCTAAACACCACTAACAGGACAGGAGATACGTTCATAAAAAACTAGAGATGAAAAGGCTTGCTGGTTAACTGCCCACAGCCTTCTTTCATAGAGTTCTTTCAGGCCTCTCCTCTCTAAGCCTGAGAGAAGTATCCTCTTCCACGTAAAGAGCTGATCCAGAAGCAGTGAAGAATCTTATAAACTAACACACACAGACTTGAGACATGAAGCCACCTCAACCATGCAGAAACCACAAGGACAGAGCTTTAACAGAACTGAAACCTAAGCATGTCAAAACTCAGACACAGCAATAGGTTTCTGTCCAGTGGAACACAAAAGATGTCAGACCCCAGTTAAGATGGTAATTCAGCCTTCACAGGAAGCAAGAGAGACTGAATTCAAGTGTTTTGAATTTGCTGAGAATATCCACTGATATTTTCAAGAACTGAGAGACCACATATCATCTTGACTTACAGCTGAAATATTTCACACAGACATCCTCCACAAACTAAATGCAGTATCTCAAGATAAGCCACAAAGACAACTGGCAATTCTGCAGAACACAGAGTGTGTTAATGCAGATCTTCACCTACTCCAATGAGAAACCCTGTGTTTGTAGGTCACCCATACACATTTCACCACCTAGCAAAGAGATACCCATCAGTCAACATTCAGAGGAAACAGGAAACCCGCCAAAAGGATCACCCTGAAAACCACTAGGTCACATACCAGAGGTCCACATGTTAACAGGTGTCAGTTGACAACTGGATGCCTTAGATGTTTAAGCTGTCAAAGCAAGTTTTGCCAACCTGTTCCCTATACATGCATTAACATGACATACTGTATCTAATTTTGAGTAGGCGCAATTTTCTAACAACGAGGTCACACACAAATATTTAAGCCTACTGACAAAATGCATGTTTTTTTCTTTATGTACCTTTTATGGATGCCCCAGTAAGGACAGATTTTCCTATTCTCTGTACTATAAAGCACAGGTCCATTGCTTTTTTTGTTCCTCATGGCAAGAAGAACAGCAGAGCGAAGATTGGCAGCAACTTGCCAGACTGAGGCTGCCATTATATACCTACATACCAAAACTGCAGCCTAATATTGCATAGCATTTTTAAAGTCTCAAAACCAGGTTTAACTTCCATTAGAGCAAAACTCCTCAGGGGAACTGAACTATGCCCTTGGAGCATAAGGGTATCAACTGATACCAACTCAATGATCTTAAAGGTCTTTTCCAACCTTAATGATTCTGTGAATCTGTGAAGTCCCTGCGAGTATGACAGTTGTACTGTGGGCAGTATTAAGTCTGTCAGCACTACTAAGTAGTTACTAAGAGCATTAGAAGTACACCAGCCACCTTAGTGAAGGTTTTGATGGCATTTCCTTGCACACATGTATCAACTTCCCTACTTGTTCACACCTAACGAGATTAGAATTTCCTGACGAATCTTCAGTACCTATCAAGTATAGAGCCTCCCCAGGGTCCGAGGTGAGGTACAAGCACTGAGGCTGGGCCCAAGTTGACTTCCAGATTTCAAAAAATATCGTTCAAGACAAGGGCATGAACTAAATTTTGTCAAACCTCCAAATGGAAAGATTTTACTAAAAAATGAAAGCCACCAATTCAGAAAGAGAGATACTTCAGATGTTCAAATTATGAGTTGCAGGTACAAAGAATGAAATGAAACTGTTCCATGCCTCGTGCCCTTGGAGTGGCCTAGGCCAGGAAACAAACTGTATTAAAACTAACATTTTGTAGGTACTTCACATAAAATAACATGGACAGACATATCTGAAAGAAAACTTGCACCTTCAGAGGAAGTCGTTTACAGTGTTTGTAGGGCACAAGTCACAGTATGGGATGACATACTTCAACAGTAAACTAAGTGATTGTGCAGAGAAAGAGAAGGGACCACAAAGAAAAAAGCCTATCTTAAGGTTAATGCATATGAACATGCAGTGTGGTTCTACTCCTTTTTTATTACAGCAACCAACAACTAACTGCCAAAAAATTTAACAGATACTACATCACATTCAATTTCCAAGTGATACATTTGACTGAACACCTCAGTTTGACCTGCCAAAAACTTAAGCAACTCTTTCCTGCAAGACAGACTGTGATAAGCCATCTGCAACCTATGCTCAAAAAGCTTGTTTTAAGCTTATGCATCCGCATGTATTTGTGCAGGTCTTGATTCTCTTCTTTAACAGAAGGGCTGCAGAAGGCTCTGTAATGCACCTGCAGAGATGCGATGCAACTTAAGAGCTGAGGCAGAAATGCCTGCATCTCGTGTTCCGGGGGACACAAAATCAACTGCCTTATTCTCCATAAGGACAATTCTTTCAGTAAAGACCAAATAGCAGCAATTCTCATGGAGGTAACTATTATAACATAGGGCTCGGGGAAGAGTTGTTTCATCATAATGATCTCGTAATATTTCCTAATAAATTAAAGAGAAGAGGTATTGCCTGAATGCATCCAGTAGCCATCTAAGTCTGTGTTACTCTGTTCAGAGTAGTAAGGCATACCTAAAATACAAGCTAGACAATGGTAGTTCCTTCTGCTGTGCTCAATGAACAGCCACTACAGAATTTAGGGAGGTATCTGTCAAATCTGCCACTCCAAAGGTAAGATCCTTGTTAAGAAAAATGGAGAGAGAGGACAGATCAATTCCACATTAACCTTTCCAGATCACTCAAGTTTTGAAGCCAATGCCAAGTGGCACAATCTACACTTCAGATGTTGAAATTTCAGTCTCCACTTTAGTGCAACGTAATTGTTCCTTCCTGCATCCCACAACATTGTCATTGAAGACCACTTACATCCTCCTCCTTTTCTATGTGTCAAAATTCTAATTTTAAGCACTACAAGGAAAAGGTTTTGCTACTACTCTGTATATTGCATAACTTCCTACAACCTTAGGAACAGTAAGTATTTTCACTTTAAATCTAGTCAACAGTCCAGTCCTACAACTTATTTATTTATTTATAGTTCAATGTATAGCAGAAACAGTAAGGAGTCCTAGAACTCCAAAAAACAAAACTTGTGAGGTAAGGACTTAAGTGTGATAAAGCTTCTAAAGCAAGAGTAGCTCCATGCTTACGGAATAACATGACTCATGAGTTCTAAAGTCTTACCTGTTAGAAATTGTCATTTTTTCTTAAGCACTAAAACCTATTTACCATAGTGAAGTATAAGAAAAGGACATTTGTAGCAAAAGGTAAAATTATTTATTCACTTTGAACAGAGGAATTTTTGCTCACAAAAGGACTGTAAAGATGAAAAGTAAAACCACCATGTACCATACTTAATTATATATTCAAAAGCCTTCACACTCACTAAGTAATACATCCTGAAAAGAAAGGTGACATAAAAGTATTCAGTAGACATGGAGAAAATCTTGCTTAGCAGGCTGTCTCCCTATATACGCCATCAAGAACAGAAGAGATGCGTGCAAAAAGACAGAACAGAACACAAAAATGCAACAGTATGAGCTCATAAACCCCATTGACTCTACTTTAGAATGTGTGACACCCCCACAATGAAAATAAGAAGAATTAAGAACACATTGAGTTAAAAACCAAATGGCACTTAATATCAGACATATAACTGATATATAATGACATTAGTTTTCCCCATCAAGAAAAAACTCACTGTAGCTCCACAACAGCAGACTTTGACAGTGAAGGTGACTTGAAAACCTTACAGTCTGCCTTCCACCTTGATGCACTGTTCAACAGCTGTCAGCATAACCCAGCACAACCCATGGGCTATTTGCAGGGATATGCTATGAAGCACGTCATCGAAACAATCCATGTTAAAAGCATCCATTCACAAATGGGGAATGAAAGGGGTGGAAGCTTAAAATAAGGAAATACTGTTACAACTCAACGCCATAAAGAATTACCTGCCAGTGCAGCCGAGATGATGGCATCAAACCAACAGTGTGCACTTGGGGGAAAGTATAAGTGAAAGGGACAAGATCTTGAGTCACTAGTCAGTTCATTCAAGATAATCACAGGAAAAATTATCAAACCAAAATAATTATGCAGTTACAAAAAGCAGAATAGAAGTCTGTTTATGGAAAAGCATGTGACATGCAAGAAGTCCATTTACATCACTGTGCAGTTGTTAGCAGCCATTCTTCATAAAACGCTCATCTCAGTTGTGTTTCCCAAGGCAGTACTTCGGTTTCATTTAAGCTGCATGCAAAGTGTAATACACGCAAGTTGGCACACCCTATCACATTTAAAGAAAAATCTTCCTCTACTTAACCAAATCTTACGCCTTTGCATTAAAGTTACAGAAGTATTTGGCGTATAGAAGTTTACATGTAGTAACAGTATATTAAGCTACACTTATATTGATAGGAACATCTCATGTGAAAAAAGTGTTTGCTGGACACATTAGGATAAGCAGACATGAAGCAAAGTAAGGCTAGTTATATTCTGCTGTAGCGAGCTGTAGCTCAGTGAAAGTTTGCAAGACTCTGAAATTCTTAATTAAACAGAATATTAATGAAAGATCAAATGCAAAGACAAAAAAACACCAGGGAATTCAAAAAGAAAGCTGGATTTTATAAGACAGGCTCAATCAGAAGACAAAAGAGATGACAATTTTTATGGACCTGTGGCACAAAGAGAAGCCAGTCCAGAAGAACAAAGTTTCCATAGGTTATGGACAACAATGCTGCAGTTCACAACTAGACCTAGGTTGCCACTCTGATGTTATGCAAGACATTAGGAAGAAAGCGCTTCAGAGAAGGAGACAGTGAAGCAGAAGTTAATGTGATTCTGAAGACTGCAAAGCAGTTTAACTTAAGAATTGATTTTTTTCCTAACCATTGAGTTGTTACCCCTTTCCAATACCCATCAGTTATGTGAGGATCCTTTTCAAGTACAACTGTAGCAATTGCATTTGTTAAATACTAGGACTTTTTTCCCCCACAGGTTCAACAGTGAGAACTGTAAATACTGCGTAAACTGGTACTGGATTTCTAGTTAAGTATACTCTTGAAGTTAGACCATGAGATGTAAAGACCAAGTAAGAAACAGGAGAGAACTGGAGTTACCCAGACTGTTTTCTTAATACAGAAAAAGGACAAAAATCTTTGAACAATGCTATTTACATATTTGTCAAGCTGGGGGGGTGGGGAGTGGAAATGAGAAACTCAGGGGATTGTAGTTTTGAAAAAAGAAAAGAGGTTTAATACTTAAGTGAGTTACAAAGGAGTAAGAGAAGCTGCATAGCCAGTCCATTACAGAACACGATCTATATTTCTAGACAAGGGAACTTCAGTTTTATCTTCTCTAAATCATAATGGTTACACGTATTATGCTGCTTCTCCACAAAGAAATATGCTAAGATGGAGCCCTAAAGAGACTCCTTTGGACCCAAAGAAAATCGGTTTCTGCTCTTTCCTGCTTGTTCTGACTGCTGCTGTTTAAAAAAAAAAAAGGAAGAGATCAGCAACATACTTACACAATGAACCAGCTGTGGTCCGTCCTCTTTTTGACCTTTCTTGATTAGCTTTTTCAGAAGCCAAAGAAGCTCTGGTTTGAATATTTCTTTTTACAGGGTTCTGCTGTGATTCTGCAGCCTTCTCCACTCCATGAAAGTATTTCATGTGATAATGCAATAACTTGGCTTTGCGGAAAGATTTTGAACAGTTCAAGAACTTGCATCTAAACTTGTGATCTTGATCAACAGTTGCAGCTTTTTTTGATGCAAGAAAGTCTGCTCTCCTACAAGGTTTTTTTACTGTAAGAACAAAACAGATAAATTCCCCCATGCATTTGCTATAATTATCACATGGTTTCCTGAACTGAAAACAACAAAAAAGTTAAGAAATGGGCATGCATTCAAACATGTTAGCTATGAAATGATGAAAATAAAATTTTAACACTGTAGTTGCCTTTAAGATCAGTAACTTTTAAGGGGAAAATCTGCTCTTAAAAACTGGTTGTCATGATGCCAGTCTTTTTATGAATGAGTTACTGTCAGAAAACGACATTTTGCTTCCATAAGTCCCTTGCCCAACAGCTAATATCACTGTATATAGTGCTACTATAGATACAAGACTGAATAACAGATTATGTATTTTAGTAAGAACACTGAAGATTATGTTCTACCAAGTATTTATGTAGTTGCTTATAACCGTTCACATCTTTGGTGAAAACAGTTTTCCAAGGAAAGGAAAACTGTTCTGCTGCTTTGCTTGTAACTATTTTGCTACCTGTTTTCTGGATGCCTTGCCGTACCACCAAAGTCTGGTTACTTCCAAGAACAATGGAAGCAGTATGTCCGAACTACATGTTTCAAGTAAAATTGAAATTTATTTCCATTTTCGAGCAGCAGTGAAAGCATGAAGCAAAAGGAAAACTGCTTGCATCTGTTACAAAGTGTCCCCTATGAGCTATAGTTAATTAGTTTCTCAAAAAAGAGCAAGGAAAGTCTTCAGACTCATATGGCAGAAGGTTTTAAGGCATCTGTTTTACAGAGCACTGCTGTGTAACCCAGGGCTATACCTAAACTCGACCCAGTAAATTCCTATTTCTTCCTCCAGCATTTCAGAAATTTTTAATTCATGTTTTTGCTAAGAAATACACAAAAGAAACATTTTGAACTAAATCAGATTATTGTCACCAATAAAAGAGCAGAGAGGTAGAAATTTAGAAAACACACAGATATAAAGAGATCCAGGCAATTATCCATAACTAACACATACACAGCAACAAAAAAAAAATCCCTCACCAACCAGAGGACAATGGAAAGGAGGTGTCATTTTTACAAAACAGCTTCCAAATGTAATTTTTCCATTTGTTTTGCCAGTACTAAAATATTATTTCCATATTTACAAGTATTTTCAAACTTGGAAGAAAGAAGAAGTGTTTAAAGCTAAGAGCCAGACCTAGCAACAGCAATGCAAAACTGAAGGTATGCAGCACATGAATGAAAATTAAGATATTATATTAGAAGTAGCTGAAAACAAGAAGCAGAACAGGACACAGAAACATTACAGACAAGAATAAGTGCAGAAAAAATAACTTTCCACAAGTGCACGTATGCAGGAACACGCCAAATGGGAGTGTTAAAGGTAGCATCAACACCATCTTGGTGTACGAACACAGGACAGCTTGTTCAGAAATTTTTAGCATGTAGCAACAAAAATGGTGTTACTGAGCTGCATACTTAAAGGTTATGTCATAGAGAAGAAAAGCATCCTAGATAGCTGTATCTGAAGCATACTCAGTTTTTAAGTACTGTGTTACGACAAAGAAACAACATTTGAAGTAATGAACAGAAAAACACCCAAGTAATAGTACTATGGAGGCTAATGTACACAGAAGGATTAAGAAGTCATATACACACACATATCAGACTGATTAAAAGAACGAATGTTCAGTTAATTTTGAGAAGAAAACAGTAAAAATGAAGACATTGCTTTTGGGTGTTGGGTAATGACAAAGAGAAAGCCATTTTTGCATAGCCATATTAAGAACAGGCTGTCAGGAATGCTGCTTCAAGCTATTATGGTAATATGATTGCAACAAAGCCAGACAATTGGATGACACTTGCAGAATGACCAAGTTTGTCAATACCAAAATCAAAATATACCGTACACCATCAAAAGCTGCATTCATAAAGAATGAAAAATATTTCAGGAATGGTCAGTGCAATGGCCTGTGGGTTTACTGAAAGCAAGTGCAGAAAGGTTCTCTTGACTGTAAAGCTAAAAAACAGCATTCAGGACAATGAAAGAGAACTTGTTTCTATTTAGTAACTAACATGAAGATGGGAAAACTTAACTGCAGCAGAAGTGGGTAACAGGGTCTGAAGATTTAGCCAAAAATCTTATACATATGACAAGGGAAACTATTATACCACCATACAACTGTCACAATGAGGCCCTGTATCCAAGCTCAGAGTACTTCCCCTCCACTGAGATGGACAAATTATGGAGAAGATACAGGGAATGGCTTCTAACTGATCAGCTACACATTAGAAGAGGAGCACAGGGTCATGTTAGCTGAAAACAGAGGTAGAAACAGAGGTGACAAAGACAACGGGTAAGGGGAAGGAAAGAAGACAAAAAAAAACTTACTGCAACACGCAGAAGGAATCTATTCAGAGTAATGAAAACAGACAAACCCACACAGTTTGAAACAAAGCTTAAATTATTACCATCACCATCACATTGGGGGGTGTTTTCCTTCTTTCTAAGTAACACAATAGAACTCCCTTGCCACCAGGACACAGCGGGAAGCCAATGCCCAACTCCACCACCAAGGAGAGCCTCCGGCGAGCCTGGTCTCCCAGCCAAATGCTCTGAAACCAACTCTTTACGCCAACATCTAAAGGGGGGAACTTTTTCCATCCTTACACATACATACAATTTTTGCTCACAACATATGGTACTAAAACTGTTTTCTGTGGAAAGTTTTGCTGTATTAGTTTCAGATTTTCAGGCACTTGGTTTTTCAGAGGAGCTTGGTGGGTAAGCTTGATGGGTGTTTTCTGAGTACAGAGGAAAGTTACACTTACCACCTGCTACTTCTTTCATGTTTATAACCAAAATTAAAACTCCTCACCTAGCATTCAATTAGCCATCACAATCTTAAGCACAGAGACTCAAAGTCACACAACAGCGTCTCCTTTAAACTTTCACTACAGAAAAGCACACCACCATCCCTTCAGCATTCAAGTCAGCAACCTCTCTCACTTCTCATTCTGCTGTATTACCCAAGGTTCAAGCCAAGACCAACTTCAGTGCTAAGTTTACATTAAAATGTCACCATGCGAAGCTTCTGAATCCGCAAGAGATTTTTTTTCCTCCACCACCAATTCTTTGTTTGAATTGACTCCTGCTGGGATAGGAATGCTTGGCAGCAGCACAGCATCTTCACTGAAGGTCTGCCATCCTGAGGCATCTTCTGCAACACATTGGTAAGCTATCCCAGACAGCCAACAGTGCACATAACACTTAACATTTTCCCCCAATTAAAGTTGGCCTTGCTCCAGTTTCTAGCCCTTAGATCTTCACACACAATTGCCTCTTAAACTGACAAGACTTCTAGTCTCCATTTCCTGGTCTCCACAGAAATATTAAGTGAAGATCAAGTTATTCCTTCTCCTGCTGTTAAACTAAACACACAGAGTCTCTCTAGAACATAAGTACTCCAGTGCTTCCATCTATACTATTTTCAAGATTATTTTGTTTCTTACCACTACCTTTCTTGAACTGCAGACATAAATCTTATGTATCCCAGGGGTAACTGCACAGGTGATTCTGGATAGCAATGACAAAACCTCATCTCTCACATTTCCATCTTTTCACACAAATGTGAAGTTGACCTGTGGGTCTACTGTTACTGATTCAGTGCAGTCAGTCTCAAAATTCTAAGAACCATTCTGAAGCCAGTGCTTGCTTGGGAATACATCTATGCTCATAATAGCCCACATTTTAAACAGAGCCTTCAACTTAGCCCTGCTGATACTTTTTACATGGTGCTTTGGATCACTTCACACCATTGGGATAGTGTCTTCATTAATTACCTATTTCTTTGGTCTTATTTCTCCTGAAATCTTGTGTTGTTTTTTTTTTTTTGAACTCACCAAAAGTGTTCCTGTTCATCATTTCAGCACCCAAACTATGTTTCTTCCTTTATTTTCAAAAACCTCTGTCTTTCAAGATCTCAGTTGTGAAGCAAAGAACATCTTGCCTAATTGCTCTTCTCAAACTACTTTAGATAAGGACAGCATCCAAGCATTTCCAGTGTGTCCAGAATGCACTCAAATAGATGCTTGGTGTAATAAATACATACAGCATCAATAATCACAGATCATTACAAGTTCACAAAGTTGTGATTTTTGAGCCTGAAATGTTACTTGACATTGCAAAAACTACTCAAGATAGTACTTCATCTGACCCTCCATTCACCATTTTCTCCCTGTGCTGGCACTACATCCGTAACGATAAAAACAGGAAAGTCTGTAATGTGCAAAAAACTTGCAAGCATGCAGTGCACTATTGTGCAAACCTCAACATACCTTTTGACGGGGCTAGCAGCTGCATGGACGTAAAGGCTTTACCTGCACTTCAAGGTAACTGAAACACTGTGTCCCAATCATGGTGTCTAGCTGTAAGAAACTTTAAGTGAGCAAGGCAGGATGGACTTGTTTATGTACTATATTGTTAGGCTTAAAATTACAGCTTTCACACTACCTTGAAGGAATCAAAGCCTACGTAGGTAAGCTGCAGGATATACAGCTGCTCTCTCAAACTGGATGCAAAGATATTATATTTCTCCTTAACTGAAACCCAAAGCTAAAAGTGACAAAATTAGAAAAACATATGGTAAGTATAAGGCAAATGGAATCCCTGATGCATGTCTATGCAAATAAAAAAGTAATCTTAAGAGTTCTGGGAAATACAACTACAAACATTATAGCAGATCTGTGCAAAGCAAAGGCAGCTCACCTTTACAGTCACAGAATCACTAGCTTGGAAAGGACCTTC